ATCTATTCATGTCACACCTGCCATCCTCTGAAAGGTTATTGTTAGAAAAGCATTAACAATATATTATCTTGTTAAAATTTTACACCAGAAAATTGATTTATTCTCATAATTTTAGATGACAATAACCAATAATAAAAATAAAAGCATTACTTAGTTATTTAAATTGCTGGTTCTTAGAGCTGTTAATAATTAAGAACACAACGTGAACAGCCGTGTTACAAATTAGCATTCACCCCTCCCGCCATATTTTCTTCCTTTCATCCCGAACCGAGAACCGGCATCTATCTATTCGTTGTTAAAAAATTCAGAAAAAATAATAATAAATAAGAGAAGAATAATATAAATCTGCAAATGTGAACAACGACAGTGATAATTCAATAAAATGAACGCATGAGGAATGGTTGCAAACTTCGAACAAGTGAATAGGTGACCAGGTTTGAACTATTATCGCCAAAGTTGGCGATGTTTACATTTACCGGGTTCTCTGCGGAAGTGCTTCCTTTATTTATTACAGGTGTAAACAACTCACAAAGTATGTAAACACTATCAGAAAAAGAAAGATCTCTTTAGTTAATCTTCGGATTATGGTAACTTGGCGATTTTTTGGCGAAAATTTGGTGACCAACCCTGCTACAGCAACCTGCTAGTTTTTTTTTTTTTAATTCAACATTTTTTTTTTTTTTCAACAATCTGCTAGCCGAATCACGCTTATGCTAGAACGTTTATGGAACAAAAGTGCTTAATCATGATGAAGATTAGGTGGAAAATTGGGAGAAAGTGCAGAATCGCCCACTGTTTGCCGCGTTTTTAAGAATTGCGCATACACGTCACGTGTACACATGTTGACATGTACATGTCGACCTATTTTCACTTGAAAAAAATCCCAAAATTGCACAAAAATGGCACTGCACACACTCTTGACTTTATCCATATACACTGCTAAAGTCCTAGCTAGTAACCGTTATCGCCTAACCAAAATGTTGCCAAACTAGCTGTTACCATATTCCAAAGATTAGTCCAACTTATTTGCTCACCAACAGATGTTACAGAACAACCCTTTAAGATACATCAACTTGTCGGGTATATATATAGTGTTACGAATTTGGCATTGAAATAGCTAATGTTGGTAGAATTATAAATTAAATTGTTTTATTCCACGTGCAGTGCAGCGCAAGACGAATAATAAAAGAAAGCTAAGCCGTAAAAATTGAAAATACAAGAGCACATACATGCATTTAACATTTAATAAATATCTCTTTTTGATTTCGAGAAAGCTCCAGAAAGTTCTCGCGCACGATTTAAAAATCTTATAAAAAGGAGGAAAACCTCTCAGTTCAGTTAGTCAGTGATTTTAGTTAGCTTGTTGTTGTTTTAAGAGTTTGTTTAGAAAACTGCTCTTCTTGATTGTAGCAAATTTGCGGATTAGCTTTCTTAAGTTGTTTTCAATTAAGTTCTCTTGAACGTCTGAGTAGTTAGAAGGGCTGATCTTTGGAATATGGTAACTGGTAGTTTGGCGACATTTTGGAGGTGATAAAGGTTACTACCTAGGACTTTGGTAATAATGTGAGCAGTACTCAGTTCCGATTACGCATTATTTTGTGTGACGGAAATGAGAGATCATGAGATATGTCATGTGATATTAATGGACGAATTACAGTTCTTTAATCGGAAAGGGGGGGGGGGAATTTGGAAAAATATCTGTGGCAGTATATTATTTTGTATTAAGCTTCATTGTGTGTTGTGTGAAGTAGTGTTGAATAATTTTCGGATTGTATGGCGCTGTCCAATATTATTTTAAAGATCTGGAAACATACCAATACAATAGAGAGCACATGGAGTGCTATAAAAAGCGCCATTCCGAGGCATTGTGATAAAGAGAATTTTGCTTTTTATTTAGCGGAGGAAGTGTAGAGGAAAAATTCGCAGAAAAAATCCTTCAATAATTTTATTGAATCAATAATAAAAGTGTATCCACCATGTAAGCAAGATTCTGAAGAAGATTAGGTAAGTTAGTATTTTTAATTATTTGAGGATATTATTTTTATGCATTGTTCTAAATGTAAGGTGGAAGTAAAGTAATTTGGTATTATTGGAAAATAGTTATTAGCAATAATTTAGTTTAAAGTAATTAGGAATGTAAGCTAATTTTTATTGATTTAATGTATGTGCTTATTTATATTTTAAGTAGTGTTTTTGAATTTAATTATATTTTAATTAAATGATAGTTATTTTGTGAATTATATGTTTGTAGAATTTGCTATACGTTTGAGTGGAAGTAAACGTGCATGGAAATAATTTAAATATTTGACACTAAGTATTTGTAATGTTTGCGGTATGAATTCGTTGGTGACGTTTATAATATAATAGATAATTTAGAGGTAAAAGTTTTTGGATATTTTATTTATTTTATACGTGGAAATGTTCATATTTGGAAAGGGTATATACTTTTTCGCGATGAGGTAATTTCATATATGTTCTTTTTACTGGGTTTAAAGATTCAGAAAATTGTCATGTATTTTCGTAAAATTTTTCTAATTTATGAGAAAAAAGCAGTGTACATGGATATAGTGAAGAGTGTGCGCAATGCCATTTTTGTGCAATTCTGGGATGTTTTTTTAAGTAAAAAAAGTCGACATGTACATGGTTTAGTGATATTTTAATTAAATGATAGTTATTTTGTGAATTTTATGTTCGTAGGAATTTGGTACACGTTTAAGTTGAAGGAAACATGCATGGAAATAATATAAATATTTGAAACTAAGTATTTGCAACCATTCTTAATATTTTCGTTATAAATTCGTTGGTGACGTTTATAATAGATAATTTAGAGGTAAAAGTTTTTGGATATTTTATTTATTTTATATATGGAAATGTTCATATTTGGAAAGGGTATATACTTTTTCGCAATCAGGTAATTTCATATATGTTCTTTTTACCGGGTTTAAAGATTCAGAAAATTGTCATGTATTTTCCTGAAATGTTTCTAATTTATGAGAAAAAAGCAGTGTACATGGATATAGTGAAGAGTGTGCGCAATGCCATTTTTGTGCAATTCTGGGATGTTTTTTTAAGTAAAAATAAGTCGACGTCTACATGGTTTATATGTATGTGTTATTCTGAAAAACGTGCAAGGAGTTTGCTATTGTGCACTTTTTCCCAAATTTGCAGTGAACATTTGTCATGATTAAGCAGTTTTGTTAGATAAAATTTCTAGCATAAGTGTAATTCGGCTAGTAGATTGTTGGAAAAAGGGTTGAGTAAATAAAAAGAAAAGAAACACGTCTGTACTTCGTGAAGACAAAAATGCGGCGGAAAAAAAAAAAAAAAAACAGAGGGTTGCTGTAGCGGTGCCAAATTTTCGCCAAAAAATCGCCAAGTTACCATAATCCAAAGATCAACCGTTAGAAGGTACTACTGTGATATATTGTGATACTGCATGATTATTTGAGGACATTTAATCATATTTCTTGTGATAATAATAAATTTTCTTCATTTTTCATCGGACTTGTGCATTCATTTTGTAACGAACCCGTACGCATGTAAATATATATATATACATGCTGAGGGCTGAAGCAATAATTTTTGCATCAGTGTTTTACATAACTAAATGCACTATTTTATAAAAAAAATTTGACTTGCAGAAACGGCATTCTGTATTACTGCCTTATTATTATGCATATATGACCATCTACAGAATAATTACTTAAGCAGGTCCTCAGTGATGTGAACACAGTTTCATAATTTATTATCATGTTCCTGCTTTTAATTTTCAATTTTATTATATTCCCAAACATTTTATAAGTGGTCAGACTTCAATATTATACATTTTAAATTGCTTACCTTACAATTTTATTGAGGTAAACAATTAGGCACTTTCATTAAAATAAGATTCTTTAATTAATATAATTTTAAATGATTAAAAATGTATCTAAATATCTATGTTTAATATAATTTTTTAAGTTTTTAATTAGTACATAACCATGGTTTTCATATTTAGCTTTTTTTGATATAATGATTTTCATACGCATTCGTGACCGTTTTGGCGCCTTTTTAAAATGTGGGTTTCTCTTCTCGGCACGTAAATCACCGACTTATAAAAAATACATAAAGGAGAGCCTATTTCTAATCAAATTTGAACAACATACTACTAACAACAAAATTTACTGCCATTACTTTACACAATGAGATGTATTTAAAAACTTTTATAAAAATTCAAGGTATTTCAAGATTACTCTAGTTCATAATCGAAATCGCTCACATTCATTGAAATAACAGACAAAAAAAAAATTCCCCTCACAATAACAGATATCTGCATAACATCTCAGTTACAATTAGTTTTAAACTTTTTTCGGGAGTTTTAACAAAATATAGTCTGATACAATATACCTTCCTCCAGTACACCAACAACAATAAATACAATACGTATTACGCTATATTACTACTAATAAATTATTCTTAAATAATGAAGTCGCAGTTTAAATTTACATTTACTTACCATTTAAACTTGATTCCAAAATTCAAGCCATTTATTATATAGAAACAAAAACATTGCCGTCCACTTAACAGACTGAACTTAGACTTGTCTTTGAATAACACAATAAAATAAAACACAAAAATTTAAATCCCTTCGCAAATGATCGTGAAATGGATAGTATAACATTTTAATCATCAACACGTTGACACAAGTACATTTTCTTTTTTTTTTTCAATAACTGAAACAGCTTTAAAATACAATGACAGAAATGAACGGTTCGATATGGTATTGCCATCCGTAAATATTTACCTATAATAAAAATAATCGCTGAGGCTTTACCTATGATATATGCAGAATAAAAAAATTCTTTTTTAATCCTTATGTATTTACATAATAATAAAAATAGATAAAATTGTTTTAACTTACTACTAAAAAACTGTTAAAATTAAAGTTCTTTTTAACTAAATTAAATGTAGATAGGACGAGCAGCGGTCAGATAAAATACTTCAACTACGACTAAGTTCCTTTTGTGTAGTTGTCTCTTTTCACTTAGCGACGGTGAAGCTATGGCTATGATCAGTGCTAAGAAAGTATTTTGCGAATTAGGTAAGTGCAGTAAATGTATTGTGTATTATAGAGGAGCACAAACCGCTGCTGCTTCTGCTGCACCTCAGTCTCGAATTAAAACATTTTCTATATATCGCTGGGATCCTGAGAAACCTAATGAGAAACCTCATATGCAAAATTATGAAGTTGATCTAAATAATTGTGGACCAATGGTCTTGGATGCATTAATAAAAATTAAGAATGAGTTAGATCCAACGCTTACATTTCGCAGATCTTGCCGTGAAGGTATTTGCGGATCTTGTGCTATGAATATTGGTGGGGTGAATACTTTGGCTTGTATTTGTAAAATTGATACGGATGTTAATAAACCATCCAAGGTATACCCATTGCCTCATATGTATGTTGTTAAAGATCTCGTCCCCGATATGAATAATTTTTATCAACAATATAAGTCAATTCAACCTTGGTTACAGAAAACTGATAATGAACCTTTTGGCCAAAAACAGAATTTGCAAAGTATGGAAGACAGGAAAAAGCTAGATGGCCTGTATGAATGCATATTATGTGCTTGTTGTTCTACTTCTTGTCCTAGTTATTGGTGGAATGGAGATCGTTACTTGGGTCCAGCTGTTCTGATGCAAGCTTACCGATGGGTTATTGATTCGCGAGACCAGGCTACGGATGAAAGACTAAATCGTCTGAGGGATCCATTCTCTGTTTACAGATGTCACACTATTATGAATTGCACTAAAACATGTCCAAAAAGCCTCAATCCTGGTCGTGCTATAGGCGAGTTGAAGAAACTGCTTTCTGGTTTGGCCAAGAAGGATGCACCGCAAATGACTGGAAATGCCTAAATGTTCATAGAAATATAATGTAGATATTTTTAGTCTGATAATTTGTAAACTTCAGATGTTATTTCTAAAAAGTTGTATTTCAACATTTAAGCTATGTCATAATAAAGGTTTAATCATGTTTTGATGCATTTTTCTCTCCCACAAAAGAAAACTATTTAAATATAGTTCAATTAGTTTTCATTCATAGAGATAAGTATACAGATACTTAACAATTATTCTGTATTCAGTATAGTGAAGTTTAATTTAAAAATATGTAATTTTCAGAATTTAATATAAGTAAATGTTTTTTTTTTTTTTTTCCTTTCTTTCTTGTTTAAGAGTATAGAATTAAATGTACTCTCAGGTTTCATTCATATTTATAAAGCTGTATGGTTATATTAATCTAATCCTAATTTTGAATGAATTATGTGGAATTTTTTTTTTTTTTTTTTTATTTCAAGACATATCGTTAAATATTTTACAAGATTTTATTTATTCTCTTCTCAGAAATTTTTAGTTAGTTTTATTCTGAAATTATGTTCTCAAACTTAGGATTATGTGAAGTAATTATTAAGCTACACTCAGCATAATGAGCTATCATTAATCCAGCAAAAATTATATGCTGCAGTTACAAACTAATTAAAACAACTATTTTTTGCAATTATAACATAAAAAAATTACTGTCTGTTAAATAACTAAAAATGAAAAATAATAAATTAAAAGCTTTTTTTTTTGTCAGAAACAATAAAGTTTATGTTGTTACGATTTCTGTTTCATTTTAAAATACTTAGAGCTCTTAAATTAAACAAAGTACATTTGAAACATGTTTTTTGTATTTTTGTTGTGATATTCATACTTATGTTCGAAATGTAATCTCTTTTTGCAGCATGAAGGTATTATTTAAATTGTTTTCTATATTTTGATATCCTTACGGATTAGGGTGCTTATATGTTAATGGGACACAAATAATAAATTGCCATATTTGCAGCAAATCAAAAGTTGGTCATTTTTTCAGTTCATTGTAAATTTTGAACATATTTTTCTTCATACATAACTTTGACTGATTTAAAAGAGAAAGTAGAACTATTTAAATAGTATGAATTTATTATTTATTGCAAGCATTGCTTTATATAAGATTTTTTTAATTTCACAAAGGAGGTCATATTTGATAATATAATATATCAGTTCCTTGTTCATAAGCATGAGAAGTTTATTTTATGCCTATATAATGTACAAGTATCATTCATCATTAGCATAACTTTATCTTGATACTTATCTGTGTCAAAATTCATAAATTGGCTTAGCAATATTAGTTAGCAATAAAATCATATAGAGAAGGGATAGATATCATTCCTTTGTTAATCTTTGGTATTTATTCTATTTCGTAAACAAAGCACTCCAAGTAGTGTGTGTATGTTTATGCGGTGAAAGTGCAGAATCGCCCACTGCTTGGTGCATTTTAAGAATTGCACATACTCGGTATTTACTCCCTTTATCCATGTACACATTGACCTATTTTCACTTAAAAAGTCAAAGAAAATTGACAAAAATCCAATTCTTCTTACTCTTGTAAAAAGCGCCAAACAAATAAGTGGGTGATTCTGCACTTTAGCTATTTATGCTCATGGTCTTGTCACTTATTCAGAAACTTTGCACGTTTTTGGCAACAGGAGTTCATAAAATACTGCAAGTTTGGTTTGTTATTAAAAAAGTGTAGATAAAATTTAGCTGCCATATTATGGTCAAGTAATTTTTCAGCTATGGGAAACAAATGATTCATACCAAATATTATGTCAAATTTTTAAAAGGTTAATCTTTGGATTATGGTAACTTGGCAATTTTTTGGCGAAAATTTGGTGACAAACTCTGCTACTGCAACCCTCTATTTTTTTTTTTTCGCCGCCATTTTGTCTTCACAAAGTAAAGACATGTTCCTTTTCTTTTTATTTACTCAACACTTTTTCCAACAATCTGCTAGCCGAATTACACTTATGCTAGAAATTTTATTGAACAAAACTGCTTAATCATGACAAATATTAACTGCAAAATTGGGAAAAAGTGCAGAATCGCAAACTCCTTGCGCGTTTTTCAGAATCGCACATACACAGTAACCATGTACACGTCGACTTATTTTTACTTAAAAAAACATCCCAGAATTGCACAAAAATGGCATTGCACACACTCTTAACTTTATCCATCTACACTACTATCTTCTCATAAATTCTAAAAATTTGCAGGAAAATTTTCTTAATCTTTAAACTCGGTAAAAAGCACATATATGAAATTACCTCATCGCGAAAAAGTATATACCCTTTCCAAATATGAACATTTCCACGTATAAAATAAATAAAATATCCAAAAACTTTTACCTCTAAATTATTTATTATAAACGTCACCAACGAATTTATAACGAAAACATTAAGAATGGTTGCAAATACTTAGTTTCAAATATTTAAATTATTTCCATGCACGTTTACTTCCACTGAAACATATACCAAATTGCTACAAACATATAATTCACAAAATAACTATCATTTAATTAAAATATAATTAAATTAAGAAACACTACTTAAAATATAAAAAAGCACATACATTAAATTAATAAAAATTACCTTACAATCCTAATTACTTTAAACTAAATCATTGCTAATAACAATTTTCCAATAATACCATATTAATTTATTTACTTCTTACATTTAGAAAATGCATAAAAATAATATCCTCAAATAATTAAAAATTATAACTTACCTAATCTTCTTCAGAATCATGATTATGTGGCAGATAAACTTTTCTTATTTCCTCCGCTAAATAAAAAGCAATCGTATGTGCGCCTGTTTCAGGATCTTTAAAATCATACTTATGGTTCACAGCAAGATGTTGAAAACCTTCACTCCAAACAGACATATGACTTCCAGCAATCAGATATTATTGTACCAGGTAGAATATGTTGCTTAATAAAACTTAATAAGCAATCTTTACTTCTATCTCGCACAACCTTAAAAAAACACTTATTACTACCCCTCTCAATCCCACTAAATACCCATTTCGAATTCACTTTAGATAGGGCCATGGGATCCAAAAATTAACCAACACTGTTTCACACAACACAGAATGAAGTTAAATACAAAATTTCCAGATTTCCCCCATTTTCTGATTAAAGAACTGTAATATGTCACATGACATATCTCATGATCTCTCATTTCCCTCACACAAAATAATGTGTAATCGGAAATGAGTATTTCTCACATTATTCCCAAAGTCCTAGGTAGTAACCTTTATCGCCTACCAAAATGTCGCCAAACTACCTTTTACCATATTCCAAAGATTAGCCTTTTAAAAAATTAAGCATGGCCTCGTGTATTGAATGAGGGGTACTTTTCCATTTGACCGGCGCAAATCTCGTCAAGCAGACTTTATTGGTGGCAACATACAGTATGCACATAAAAAATGTTAACAAATGTTAGTTCTGAGAATTTTTTATTTTGAAGGCGTAAACATTTTAATAGCGTTTAAAATTTTGTAAAAAGGCATTAAAAATTTACTATGCTTTCATGGATCAACATCCTGAGTCTCCGGTTCGTATCACGTGACCCCAAGTGATCTCATCCCACGTTAACTATGCTAAAATTAACTATGTTAAATCTAATTCTCTCAGTAATTATTTACATTACTTTCAAGTTAAATCTTAATTTGGAATAAAAGTTTAAATGCAAAAATTATTTCATTTCGTAAGCATAGCTTACTCGGAAATTATGTTAAACTGCAGTGCTGTACTTCGCTAGTGCATTCTCATTAGAATTGAGGAATTTAACCCTTGACTTTGCCTTTTCTGTATTTTCGGGTGAGCGGTGTGATTTCATCCTAATTGACTTAATTACCACAAATGGCCTTAGGACATAAAATTGAATGGATAGAGTAGACTTTAAAGTACCCCTTGTATTGGCGAAGTTGTTGTTTGATTTATCGCCAAGTTGTTGTTTCATTTATGGTAGCCTGAGTAGTTGAATGTCATGGAAACCCTATTGTGACGTAATCGGGTGCATGATTCTGGGAAATTTTGAATAATGGGATGTTTTGTAAGCATTTTTGTGTTGTGTGTTGCTTTGATTCTTTAGATGGTAGAATGGCCGAATATAGTAAGATTAATTTGAAGTTTCTGCACGATTTGGAGCGAAAGGGGAAAAGAACTTTAATTGACCTGGTGTGTAAATGAAGGTTTACTTAGTAGTCATTATAAGTGTCCTGTACGTAGGAAGGATATGTGTCTAGTCCGAATGTAGAAACTGTTTAGATGGGTTTGTAGGAAGAAAGGTTCAGATGGTCACTATGTGAAGTGTTCGATCAGAAAAAGTACCTGGTTTGAGAAAGGTCATTTGAGTATTATTGATATTTTGAATTTTACGTGGCTCTGGGTGTACGAAGCAAACTCGAAAATCATGGTAAGTGAATTGCTTTTGGTAGTGCTTAACCCGCGGGAAAGCGCGTGGGGTGTATCATACCCTAACCCTACATAAAAGTGGAATATTCCTCACTTGTTAAACTGAAATTCTGTGCTGCTTTCAGTAGCTGAGTTTCTAGTTGTGGTTGACTTTCAGAACTGCTTTTTCTTTGCCTGTGTTTTTCAGAAAAAGATTTATCGGTATTTTGTTCGAACTGGGGTATGACATACCCCACGCGCCTCTCCGCATAAGTGTTTTTCTGACTGAATATTTAGTTCAGAAATTTATTTCTAGAGTGTAACAGTAAATATTTCTACTCGCAAGTGATTTTAAAGTACTTGACATTAAATTCTTAAAAATTTTTAACTGCATTATGATAAAAAGAATGGCTTCCTATGAACTGGAGATGCCAACGCCTGTGAGATTTATTAAAAATATTTGAAAGCGATGAAGACTGCATTTCGGAAACTGAAGATGAAACTAAAAATATTTTCTACACTGTTTTGGTTTCGAAAAAGATAAAGCATTAATTCCTGATGTTCCTAAAAAAGGAAAAATGCCTAAAAAAAGTATTTTCACTTTCCACGTACCAGTTGTGTAGTCATTCAAAAAAGCGTAAGATACTTATTATTTTTTTTAATTTAATCTATCAGCTATTTATTAACAAACTCGATGATTTAAAAGTAATAAACAGAGTTCTTC